AGGCACCCCTAGTGTTTTCATTTCTACATGCATGGACATCTGAGTTGCTTCTTTTGGCTATTTATTGTGAATAATGCTTCTGTGAACGTGGCTGTACAGCATATGTTTGAGTCCCTGCTTTCAGTTCTTCTGTGTATATACTTGGGTTAGAACTCCTGGGTCATAAGGGTGCCTGGGTGGCTCAGTTGGTTCAGCGTCTGACTCTTGATTTTGGCTTGGGTCATGATCTCAGGGCTGTGAAATTGAGCTCCATGTTGGGCTCTGCACTGGGCATGAATCCTGCTTGGGATCGCCCTCCTGCTGCACATGTTCATGAGCGCGCTCTCTCTCTCTTAATAAGAAAAAAAAAAAAAGAATTGTTGGGTCATACGGTAATTGTTTAATCTTTTCACTTACTACCAAACTTTTCAACAGTGACTGCAGTATTTTACCATCCTTGCCAACACTTGTTACTTGCCTTTAGAAAAAAAATTTAGGTGCATGCTTCAGCAGCACATATACTAAAATGATTGGCATGGCCCTGTACAAGGATGACACTCACATTCATGAAATGGTCCATATTTTAAATAAATAAAAATGTAGTCATTCTAGTAGGAGTGTGGTGATACCGCTCTGTGGCTTAAATTTGCATCTATTTGCATTTCCTAATGACTAATGACTTGAGCACCCTTTCATGGGCTAACTGGCCATTTGTATATCTTTTTTTGAGAAATGTCTATTCAGGTCCTTTGCCCTTTTTTTGAATTGGTTTGTTGGGAGTTTTTTGTTAAGTTTAATACTACTTTTTACCTTCTGGATGTTAATTCCCTACCAGATAAAATTTACATATATTTTCTCCAACTCCTGTGAATTTTCTTTTTCTTTCTTTAAAGTATCCTTAGATACTGAGGCACCTGGCTGGCTCAGTTGGTAGAGCATGGGACTCTTTATCTTGGGGGTGGTGAGATCAAGCCTCAGCTTGGGCGTAGAGCTTACTTAAAATAATGATCAAGTATCCTTCGATGCACAAAAAAGTCTTGATTTTGATGAATTTCAACTATCTGTTGTTTTTGTTGCCTGTGTTTTTGGTGTTCTAGTGATGAAACCATTGTCAAATCAAATGTGAAGATTCTCCCCAATGTTTTCTTAGCAGAGTTTTATGTATTTATCTCATGAGTTTAGGTCTCTTACCCATTTAGACTTGATTTTTGTATATGGTGTAAGGTAAATAATTTGTGAATATCCAGTTTTCTCAGCACCTGTTGTTCAAGAGACTGTCCTTTCTCCATTGAATGGTCTTGGCACTGTTGAAAATGAGTTGACCATTTATGTGAAAGTTTATTTCTGGGTGTTCTACTCCATTGGTCTATATATCTGTCCTTCTGCTAATACCATACTGTTCTAATTACTGTTTTCTTGTAAGTTTCACAGTTTTTTGTTTTTTGTTTTTTAAGATTGTTTTGGCTTTTAGAACTCCTTGCAATTTCCTCTGAATTTGAGGATTGGCTTTTCCATTTCTGACCAAAGACTCTTAGAATTTTGAAAGGATTGTGTTGAATGTATAGATCGCTTTGGGGTAGTATTAACATATTAACCATGTTTAGTCTTTCTATCCATGAACATGGGATGTTTTTCCATTTATTTAAACCTTAATTTCCTTGAGCAGTGTTTTGTAGTTTTCAGTATACAAGTATTTCACTTCTTTTTTTTTTTAAGATTTTATTTATTTGGGAGAGAGCATGAACGGGGGTAGGGACAGAGGAAGAGGGAAAGAAGCAGACTCCCTGCTGAGCATGGAGCCCCACATAGGGCTCGATCCCAGGGCCCTGAGATCCTGACCTGAGCTGTAGTCAGATGCTTAACCGAGTGAGCCACTCAGGCATCCCTCACCTCTTTGGTTAGACTCATTTTTGAGTACAGTTGATCCTTGAACAACACAGGTTTGAACTGCCTAGGTCCACAAACGTAGGTTGTTTTTTTTTTTTTAATAAATACAGTATAGTACTGTAAGTATATTTTCTCTTAAAATTTTCTTAACATTTTATTGTAAGAGTACAGTATGTATTATATATAACATAAAAATATGTGTTAAGTGCTTATGTTATTGGTATTCTCGTTTAGGTTTTTCGCTTTTGTTCTTGTTTAGACTTAGGGTCAGCAATAAGCTTTTGATAGTTATGTTTTTGGGAGTCAGGGTTATACCCAGCTTTTTGACCACACAGGGAATCGGGGCCCTGAACCCCTGTGTTGTTCAAGGATCAATTGTATTTTATTCTTTGTATGCTATTGTAAATGGAATTACTATCTTAAATTCCTTGTCAGATAAGTAATTGCTGGCATATGAAAACATAGCTGAATTTTGCTTGTTGATCTGTACTCTTAACATTGTCTATTTGATTTTTAGTTCTAGCTTTTTATATATAGATTTTTCTGTATATAAGATTGTGTCATTTTTAAACAGTTTCACATCTTTTCTAATTTGGATGCACTAAATTTTTTGTGGGGGGTGGAGTCCAATAACTCTGGTAGAATTTCAGTGTAGTTTTGAATAGCAGTGATAAATGTGAGCATCCTTATCTTGTTCCTGATCCTAGGGGAAAAATCAGTCATTTATCATTGAGTATGCTGTTAACTGTGGGGTTTTCATAAATATCCTTTATCATGCTAAAGAGTTGTTCCAAGAATTTTTATTATGAAAGGGTGTTGGATTTTGTCAGATAGCTTTTCTGCATCAGAAAAGCTATCTTTTTTTTCCATTGATTAATAATGATGTGTTAGACTAATTCGCTTTTTGAACCACACTTGAATTCCTGGGATAAATCTTACTTGGTCATAGGGAATAATCCTTTCCGTATGGTCTTGGATTTGATTTGCTAATAGTTTCTGGAGGACATTTTGTCATTTATGAAATACTGCTTAGTAATTTTCTATTCTTATGAAGACTTTGGCCTCATAGAATGAGTTAGGAAGTATTTCCTTCTGTTCAGTTTTTGGGGAGGATTTGAGAAGGATTTGTGTTAATTTTTTATTAAATGTTTGTTAGAATTCCCCAGGTAAGCCATGTATTTTAGTACTTTTTAAGAGGTTTTTGATTACCGATTCAATCTCTTACAGGACTGTTGACCTTTTCTATTCCTTCTTGAGTCAGTATAGGTAGTTTGCAAGGAATTCATCCTAATCCTCTAGGTTATCTAATTTTTTGGTGTACTGTTGTTCATAGCATTCTGTTAAATTTTTTTTAATCTGTAAGTTTGGTGGTAATGTTACACTTACATTTCTGATTTTTTAGCTATTTGTCTTCTTCCTCTTTTTTTCAAGCTAGCTAAATGATAATCTTTTAGAAGAACCAACTATTGGTTTTCTTAATTTTCTGAATTGTTTTTCTAATCTGTATTTTATGTGTCTGTGCTCTGATCTTTATTTCTGTTCTTTTAGCTTTGAGTTATAAAGTATGTTTATAATTGTTATATCTCCTTGTATGGAACCTTTTATTAATAAATTATATCACTGTTTGTTAGTGTTTTTAAAAAAAGACTTAACTGTAAAAGGAAACCATGTAAGTTTTACCCTCTGAACCATTCTTAAGTTCTGATAGTGACTATCCATATTGTTGTATAACAGATCTCTAAAACCTTTTCATCTTCCAAAACTGTACTCATTGAATAACAAAGGGGCACCTGGCTGGCAAAACATGCAACTCTTGATCTTGGGGTTATGAGTTTGAGCCCCACGTTAGGCATAGAGTTTACTTAAAAATTAAAAGAAAACAAAAAACCAGTAAGTCATTGAACAACAACAACGACAACTCCTCTATTCTTCTGACTCTCAGCTGCTGTTGGCCACCATTCTATTGTTTGTAGTGTTTTGACTACTCTATATTCACGTTAGTGGAATCCTATAGTATTTCTCCTACTGTGACTGGCTTATCTCATTCAGCATAATGTCCTCGTGGTTCACCATATTGTAGCATGTGACAGAATTTCCATTCTTGTAAGGTTGAATTACATTCCATTGTATGTATGTGCCACAGTCATTTGTCAGTGGACGTTTACTTTGCTTTCATTTTTTGACGGTTGTGAATAATGGTCCAACAAATACAGGTGTGCAACTATCTCTTTGAAATTCTACTTTTATTTACTTATGTGTATATGTATGTATGTAATCTCAACACCGCCTGTGGGACTCGAACTCATGACCCCAAGATCAAGAGTTGCGTCCTTTTCTGACTGAGCCAGCCAGGCACCCCTGAAATCCTGCTTTTAATTCTTTTGGTTATATACCCAGAAGTGGGATTGTTGGGTAATGGGGTAAGTCTCTTTTTTTCCAGTAGCCTTTTAAAAATTTAAAGTCTGTCTTACTTGATTTTAGTATAGTCAGCCCAGCTCTCTCTTGCTTATTATTTGCACAGAGTATCTTTTTTAATCCTTTAACTTTTAGCCTGTTTGTTGTGTCTTTGGATATATATTGTGTCTCTTGTAGACTACATACAGTTGTATCATGTTTAGACTACATACAGTTGTATCATGTTTTTAAAATCTTTTCTACCAATCTCTGTCTTCGATAGCAGAGTTTAAGCCATTTATGTATATATATGTATGTGTATGTATATTTATATACATATTTTTTGTTTAGATTTTGTTTTCAGAGAGAGAGAGAGTGGGTGCATGGCGGGGGGGGAGGAGCAGAGGGAGAGGGACAAGCAGAATTTGTGCTAAATACATCACCTGATGTGAGGCTTGATCTCACAACCCTGAGATCATGACCTGAGCCAACATCAAGAGTTGGATGCCTAACCGACTGAGCGACCCAGGTACCCCTAAGCCATTCATATTTAAATTAATCCCTCAAAGAGTGATTTATTTCTGCCAATTTTCTGTTCCTTTCTATATGTCTTACAGTGTTTTTGCCTATCATTTCTGTTATAGCCTTTTGTAGTTGTTTGTAGTTTGGATTTCCCATCTCATTTCTTTTTTTGTATATTCTATAGATAATTTGTGTTTAACATGGAAATTACATTTAACATCTTGAGATTCTTGTCTAATTTGAATATGTCAACTTAAATAGTACACAAAAATTATGCTCTTGTATAGCTCCTTCTCCCTCATTTTTGTTATTCATACCACAGATTTCAACTTAATACATTGTGTGCCCGGTTATGTAGATTAATAATAATTCTTTTTGCCTTTGTGACATCATATAGCAAATAAAAGGTGGAGTTACAAATGAAAATAATAATACTAGCTTTTAATTGCCTGTGTATTTATCAGAGGTCTTTAGTCACTTGCTTCTTTTCATTTCATTCTGAAGGACTTCCTTTAGCATTTCTAGCAGGGTAGGTCTAGTTGTAGTGAACTCCTTTAGCTTTTGTTTATCTGGGAATGTATTAATTCCTTCCTCATAAGGAGAGTTTCTCCTGTTACACAATTCTCAATTGAAAGTTTTTTCTTTCAGCCTTTAAATATATCATCCCGCTTTCTCTGGTTCTCAGGACTTTTGATTAGAAATTAGCTTATACTCTTACTGAAGATCCCTTGCATGTGGTGGGTTGCTTATCTCTGTTTTCAGGATGATTTTACTGTATTTGACTGTTAACAGTTTGATTATAATAAGGTTGGCCTAGGGCTCTTTGAGTTTATCCTACTTGGATTTGTTGAACTTCTTGGCTTTGTAGATTCATGTCTTCCATCAAATTTGGAAGTTTTCAGCCATTTTTTCTTCATATATACTTTGTGTACCTTTCTCTTCTGGGATTCCCATGACTGTGTTGGTAGGTTTGATGGTTTCCACAAGTCACTTAGAATCTGTTTACTTTTCTTTATTTCCTTCCTGTCCCTTAAACTCAATAATTTCACTTTCCATAATTTCAAGTTTGCTGTTTTCTTCTGCTTACTCAGATGTGCTGCTGAACCTCATCTAGTGTATTTTCATTTCAGTTCTTTTATTTCTCAGCTTCTAATTTCTTATAGCTCCTTTTTAGAATTTGTTTTGTTAATGATATTCTCATTTTGTTTAGACACTGTTTTCCTGTTTTTGTCCTTTTCTTCCTTTAGGTCTTAGAACATCTTTAAGGTAGCCATTTTAAGATCTTTGTTGAGAGAGCCTGACACATGGGCTTCCTTAGGTATATTTCCATTGATTTATTTTATTCATTTCAGTGGGCCACACGTTCCTATTTCTTCTTATACCTTGTTTGTGTGTGTGTTTTAATTGAAAACCGGACATTGGAATTTTATAATGTGGTAAGTCTGGAAATAAATGAGATTCTTTTCCTTCTTCAGAGTTTGTTTTTTCTGGGGGGGGGCAGATATTCTTGTAGGAAGTTTCTTTGAATATGTAATTTAGTGATTTAAAACTTCCAAACTTCCATTCAATACGTGGCGCTTATCACAAGCACCCTCTTTAATCCCCATCACCTATTTAACCCATCCCCCCTACTGCCTCCCCTCTGATAACCGTTATTTGTTCTCTGTAGTTCTTGATTTGCTTCTCCCTCTCTTTTTTCCCCTTGTGCTTGTTTTGTTCTTTTAAATATGAGTGAAATCGTACGGTATTTGTTTTTTTCTGACTGATTTTGCTTGGCATAATACACTCTAGCTCCATCCACGTTGTTGCAAATGGCAAGATTTCATTTTTTTTTTTTTATGACTGAGTAATATTCCCACTTTGTATTTATACCACATCTTTATCCATTCATCAGTCATTGGACATTTGGACTGTTTCCAAATCTGACTATTGTAGATAATGCTGCTATAAACATCAGGGTGCATGTGTCCCTTCAAATTAGTGTTTTTCTTAAAAGATTTTATTTATTTGAGAGAGTGAGTGAGCACAAGTAGGGGGAGAGGCAAAGGGAGAGGGAGAAGCAGACTCCCCACTGAGCGTGAAGCCCAACACGGGGCATGGTATCAGAACCCTGTGATCATGACCTGAGCTAAAGTCAGAGGCTTAACTGACTGAGCCACCCAGGTGCTCCTCAAATTAGTATTTTTATTCTTTGGGTAAATACTTAGTAGTACAATTGCGGGATTATAGGGTAGTTCTATTTTCAGTATGGTTTCAGATTCTAAACCTCCATACTGTTTTCCACAGTGGTGTACCAGTTTGCGTTCCCACCAATAGTGCAGGAGGGTTTCCCTTTCCCTACATCCTCTCTAACAGCTGTTGTTTCTTGTGTTGTTGATTGTAGCCATTCTGAGAGGGGTGAGGTGATGTCTCATTCTGGTTTTGATTTGCATTTCCCTGATGCTGAGTGACGTTGAGCATCTTTTTGTGTGTCTTTTGGCCATTTGTATAAAATACTCATTTTTTTCTACCCATTTTAATTGGATTATTTGTTTTTTGGTGGGTGTTTTTAAATAAATTCTTTATAGATTTTGGATACTAACCTTTTATTAGATAAGTCATTTGCAAATATCTTCTTCCATTCAGTAGGTTGTCTTTTAGTCTTGTTGATTGTTTCCTTTACTGTTCAGAAGCTTTTTATTTTGATGAAGTCCCAGTGGTTTATTTTGCTTAGGCCTCAGGAGACCTATCTAGAAAGAAGTTACTATGGCTGATGTTAAAGATGTTATTGCTTGTGTTTTCCTCTAGGATTTAAATGGTTTCTTACCTCATATTTAGATCTTTCATCCATTTTGAATTTATTTTTGTCTGTGGTGTAAGAAAATTACAGACAAGATTATTTTTGCCGACCCTGGCTCCAGCAAGCTGTAGCAGAATAACATACAATCGTCCCCACATCTGTTTGCCATAGGGACATGGGGGTGGGGAATGGGTAGCTACTGTCACACTGAGGGCTGAAATTGACCATTATTAACCACAATTTACTGGCTAGCCTTTTCCTTGGACATCTGTGAGTGTGAAAGTTCAAATTGACTCCAGAGTTTCAGAATAGTTGGATCAGTAGTTTCTGTCAGTATGATTGCTGTTTAGGTGCAGGGAGGGATTCCTGACACTTTCTGCTCTATCCTTTTCCCTCCCTGACATTTTCCTTCTTTTTTTTCTTTGTGATAACTAAAGAGCGTGAACTGGCTTCACACTGCCTTTATTTAAAGCATTGTAACTTTAATATTTTTTATCTTTTTTCTGAATTTGCTTTCATGATGTACACCTCTAAAAGAGCCATATATATATATATAAATTAACATAATGTATTATTTATTTCAGGGGTACAGGTCTGTGATTCATCAGTCTTAACACAATTCACAGCGATCACCATAGCACATACCCTCCCCAGTGTCCATCACCCAACCACCCCTTCCCTCCCACACCCCTCCACTCCAGCAACCCTCAGTTTGTTTCCTGAGATCAAGAGTGTCTTATGGTTTGTCTCCTGCTTTGGTTTCGTCTTGTTTCATTTTTCCCTCCCTTCCCCTATGATCCTCTGTCTTGTTTCTCAAATTCCTCATATCAGTGAGATCATATGATACTTGTCTTTCTCTGACTCATTTTGCTTAGCATAATACCCTCTAGTTCCATCCACGTCGATGCAAATGGCAAGATTTCATCTTTTTGATGGCTGCATAATATTCCGTGTGTGTGTGTGTGTGTGTGTGTGTGTGTGTGTGTGTGTGTGTACACACCACATCTTCTTTATCTATTTATCTGTTGATGGACATCTAGAAAGAGCCTTACATTTTTATAGGATTACAGGATTATAATTATATTTATATAATTATATTATAATTATCTCTCAAGAGTTTTTCCACTTAAAAACAGTAAGGTATTTGATTATGAAAATTGAATATATTATGGAAATCCTTTCTATTAATGATCGAAGTGGTAGCAAGTCAGAAATTCCATATTGTGTATTTGTTACATTCTAATTAGGAAAGTTTAATAGTTACTTGTTTGCAAAAAACAAGTATGAACTGTTAGTATAATCTGTGATGTTAATTAATACTATATTAAAAGTAACATTCTTAGATAAGACCTATAAAAGCAGTAAATTCATAATTGATAATTCATTTATCCTTCATCTCAAATGATGTAAATAGTTTATAAAAAGTCACCCAACATGGAGGAATTCCTCCAAAGTTATTTTAGTACTTTTATTTCATCTTCTGTTTCAAAATTAGGTTGTGCATATTTACCCTAATAGGGGATATAGCAGAAGAGAGTTCATATGATTTATGCCTGAAAAATATAAAAGTCAGTGTTTTAGAATAGAAGAATACACATTTTCTGATAAGAGTTTTTTATGTATAGAAGATAAGTTGGATACCTCAGATTTTTACTTTTGGAATCCTCATTTTGTAATTACTAACCTATTCATTGTGTATCTTGATTTCGTAGTTTGTAGCTTCATGGCTACAAAAGACATTTACATCATGTTGTAATTAATATTTAGTAGTAACATCTTTGTAAATGTTATACTTTCCCTCATACTTCTGTTTAGTATGAGAAAGGAGACTTTCTGTCTCTTGGTTTATTACCACATAGACCTTTATTTTAAGGGATTTTCTATTGTGTACCTTAGTAAAGTGAGCATGTTATATGAATACTTCATAACCATTTAGTATGAGAAATACAGTACGCTTATAATAGTTTGGTTTTCTTTTGTAATTGGAATTTATTATTTTATTTGTAACTGCTTATGTTTTAATATACTTTTTAACTTGTTTTTAATTTAATGATATGTATATAAATTTAATTGGAATCTTCATACCTGGATTCCAGAAACTGTTTTTATTGTGGGCTTCCCTCTTGTGGTTAGAAAATTAATCTTGTGGTTGGTTTGAAAAAGATAAAGTTCGGGGCGCCTGGGTGGCTCAGTCGGTTACGTGGCTGCCTTCGGCTCAGGTCATGATCCCAGGGTTCTGGGATCGAGCCCCACATCTGGCTCCCTGCTCAGCGGAAAGCCTGTTTCTTCCTCTCCCTCTGCCTGCCACTCCGCCTACTTGTGCTCGCTCTCTGTCTCTCTGTCAAATAAATACTTTAAAAAAAAAAAAAAAAGATCTGCTTAAGTGGAATTTTACTCTCACATTTTATATACTGCCATTTATGATACTTGGTAATTAGCATTTTCCCAACATACTAAAAAATATTACTGTTCCAGCTATTTTCTTTTAAAGTGTAGAACTTTTTGGTAT